CCTTTAAAAGCACACACAACCCACAATTCCTCTATTCGCTCCGACGAAGGGCTAACGCTCGAAACGTCAGCTTTTGTAATCGTAACGGTGGCCAATTTACCATTTCAACTTTGTTGATATATCCTAATTATTTCGTTGCCCCCACCGACGCAGCCCCAAACAGTTTCTTTAGAAACTATCAGCCTTTATCAATTCGTTACTTTGCTGCAAAAGCGTCCAGTATGTCGATACCCTAACCTTAAAAATGCAGACGCCGTGCAAAAAATTCATTTGGTCACCAGCCTTCCACCCTCCAGTCCGAACAAGAACCCACGAAGCGACATTCAGTGTAGTCCCGAAAGGCAGGGGAATCACCACTTTGGCCTTGAAGAAGGGGAGGGTGAGAATTTCTAAAAAGGCACAGTCCTTGTTTTGACAAACAACTGACCTGTCCTCCTGTTGCCCAGTCCTTCACGGTCGAGCTTCGATCTCTTGCTTCCAGTTCTTCCAATAAGGTTTTTAAAAAGTCGTATTCCGCTAAACAAACAGTAACAACAACAACAACAAAATGATGAACTAATCTAAGATATCTCTTTTCGTTTTGAAAACACCAGTTTCACACGCTACCACAATTCAAGGATTACGTCATCTATCACGTCCCAACACTTTTTCCAAAAACTCTCTTCCAATTTGTTCATACATGCGTCTTACCGTTAATAATTGCGTCACTAACGAGACTGCGCAAAATAACCCTATGACCCAGACTCCAGTGGCGCGCCTTGACAAGGTGGAAAGCTTCTTCGCGAGTTTTTCCTTCATAGCGCGCTCGTAAGGCCTAGAGAAGACAAAAATAAACTTTGGATGGTTATCGCAACCTCTGGTTATAGAAAAACCAAAACGGCTTCTTTCTAAGTACAAATCACCATACCTTAGCTTCGTGTATCCATTCAGCAGGAATTTTCAGTTCATTTAACAAAAAGCGTTCTTTCTCTATGTAAGCATGATCCAACGACACGCAACAGTAACGACCCAGAAGGCTCCGAACCGCATTCTCCCGCCTGATGATATTAACGTTACGTAAAAAGACTTATCAGTCACAAAGAGAGAGAAAAAAAATCAATATTTTTGATCGTGCGTATGAACTAAGCTTAATTTTCGCAAACGAAGCGAGCTTGAGTAACACCCGCGAGTTCCTTTGAACTTTATTTTTATTTAGACACGGTAAATCTATCAGATAAAATAATAATATTATTACAATCTATTATTACAGTTACAATCTATTTTAATCTATATAAACATGATCTAAAATTTAAAAGTAAAATAGAAAAAAATAAAGAAATTCTGCTTTACATAGATGCCGTGTGTGTTTTGTCGATTCAGAGGAAGAAATTGCGACAACCATTTCGGAAGGATTGAAGTGATTTTGCTTGCCGCAATTCAGGGGACAAGCTATTCCATATAACCGCACCGTTATAGCTAAAGCTATTTTTCAGGAAATTGGTGCGAGGCAATGGAACAGCTAGTTTGTTTTCAGAGTTCCTTAGATTATATGGAGGATCATATTTAGTGAAAAGAGAACCAAGATAGTCGGGCGCAAGACCATGTATAGATTTATAGACCATGGTGGCCACTTGTATTTGTCGCTGAGTATCTAACCGTCTCCAGTTAAGTTGCACAAAAAGAGGATCAGCGCTTGTGTCATAACTGGAGAAGGTCAGAATACGGGCAGCCCGGTTTTGCAACTTTTGGAGCTTATTCGAAAGACCCTTGTTACAATGCCCCCAGACCTCGCTGCAGTAATTAAAGTACGGTTGAACTAAGACATTGAAAACGGACTCAAGCGTGGTTCGATTAACAAAAGGCCTACAACGTTTAATTGCTCCAATGCCCGATGCGATTTTCTTGGCTATTTTTTCATTGTGCATATTCCATGAAAGGTTTTCGTCAATATGTACACCCAGAGATTTGACTGAGCTAACTTACACTTAGAAGTCGCAAATTCAAACGGAACTTTTCGATGGAGAACGAGAACAATACGAAAATGGCAGCTCCTCAATCAAAACGCAATCGCTGGGGAAAAAAAACTTGGGCTAAGTAGAATCCCAAATGCGACAAACCCACAAAACTCTGTTTCACCGGAATTACAGATGATCAAGCGAATCATTGCCATTAACACAGAAGATTTGAACACTTCTTGCCGTGAAAATTAAACACACCTGGTAGGTTCCTCAATGTGCAACAAGACAAAGGCCGCCCAATGCCACAGGCCCAATCCCTCCAGCTGAGCAGCAAAACCACAGTGTAACATGGCCGCGTGTTGTTCAGAAAGATGCGTGTAATGGAGTGATAAAAGAACCTGGTACAAATGCCAACTGGAAAGAAACCACGCAGGATTATCAATGTTTGCATGTTGGTGTCTAAGTGTGTGCTATAAACCTTAAAGGTATTTTTCCAGCTGTCACAAATATACGAGATCAACTGTGCCTTAATTTTTTTCGTCTTTTTAATTTTTTCTCCATTACTCTTTGAAGGTGGAGTAAGAAAAGGGAAAATATCTACTGTCAACTTTAAGCTCCAGCGACTAAACATTCTCCTTCCTCGCCATGTTAAAAGAGCATGTTTATCAGTTCACCCACCTCTCTCAAAATGCCAATGCTTCCTAATTTTTGATCTAAATTAAACGTTTTCGTCTATTATTTCCAGCGAAAGTTTTCACCATAGGGAATATGATAACAAGAATAATAGAAATGATAATGAAGATGAAATTGACGATGTTGATGATGATGATACTAACAAAAGTCAAACTATTTACCTTAATCTAAAATCTAGCTGCACAACAGTAGAGGTTGATGGTGATAGCAGCCTCTCCAGTCTGTGTGATCTTTTGCAGTAGAGTTTTAACAAGTGATAACAGGTATCTCTTGTTACAAACTTGTTTTCATTCGCGTCTCCTTCGTCTTCTTCGACAAACGGCGGATGAGGAGGAGCGCCGTATCTACCGTGACTCGAACTTCCCTGAGAGCGAGCGAGAAATGTAAGTAGGAGGCAACATTTCAGTGGTAGAGGGGAGGGAAATCATAATAACAAGAACGAGGTAACCACATTTCCTTTAGTTTGTTCCAGACTGGTGACAAATAATTTATACCTTTGTTAATAAACAATTTTGTTCAGCTAGAAATTCCACCACAACCACCAACCTTAAATGAGGCGTTGTATGCTTGCACCGCATCAGTTATTGAGCACGTTGGTGAACAGAAGTACCTTGAAATGAAACAAATATATATTGTTAAATATTACTATAAAAAAAATGAATTTTGTGACTAAGTAGTCTCGCTTACCACAGGTGTACAGCCAGAACTCTCTTCCAATCCAGTCCCTCGCAGACGTTCACCACGTGACGCGTCAGGTTTTGAAGTTCGTCATGTGATAGACTTGCTGGGTCACGTGATATTTCCCATACCATGACACCAGCAAGCAGAGCGTAGATTTTAATTCTTTCTCTGCTAATAAATGCATCCGCCTGGTAAAAGAATGGATGGTATTATGTTAAGATGACTCCAATCACGTGCTGTTTCACGGCTCACTTACTCGCCTGAGTCTTCGTCATATGAGTCAACCGACCTAGGCTCTCTCTAGAAGCGGATGAAGTTTGTCTTTTGTTCATATGGGAAATTTCAGCTGGGTTGTCGAGAGAGTGATTCGTAATGTTTTATGTTTCGTAACAAGGCTCAAGTTATTGTCAAGATCTTGGTCGCAAGCCCGAGTCTGGGGAAATGAACGAACTACCTTTTTAACAAAATCGATAATAGAATAAAATCAAAATAAATAAATAAATAAATAAATAAATAAACAATTTATTTAAAGTCAATAATGCAGGAAGTGCTTACCCGAGCCGGTGTCTCATGTTAAAAACTATGAAGGTAGATCCTGGACAAAATGTTCGATTCGTCGTTTCGTTATGGAGTTTCGTCGTTTCGTTATGTCGAGTCGTTTTTTTCCGAGTTCGACTCGTCGAACTTTCAGTTCGTTTCGTCGTATTGTTGTTCGATTCGTCGGCTGGCCTCCTTGACTCGTCGTTTTAGGAGTCCGACTCGTCATCGACCACATCGGTTCGTCGTTTTGTCGTTTCGTTATGTCGTTTCGACTTGTCCACTCAACAGGAGCTATAATTCAACCTAAATTACATGAAGAATTACTTGATTCCATACACTCTTACATGAATCATTAATATGTGGTATCTATAATTTGCTCTCTGGCGAGGAAATGAATCCTTTGAAAAGCGACTTACGCAACAGCATAGAATTCGTCTCGAGTCGAGTAAATGATCTTTTTCATAAAAGTGATCATGGAATTGGATACCGAGTGACACACCTTGACAGAGTCTTCTATATTCTAGCTCGTGCATCTTCGTTATTTAACATTCCTTCTCAGTTGGAGTGTTTGATACAAACAGCTTGTTTGTTGTTCTTGGTGGCAGTGACAACTCATTGTAAAGGCGGTTGTTTAAGTTTACAGGATGCAGGGGTCGTCCCAGCATAAATTTCCCCAGAGAACTCCTGAAACAGTACCTTGAGAACAATTTTAGACATGTTTAAATTCGAGATGATAGTCGATGGTAGTTTTTGGCGTTTGAACGAGCGGATGATAATGCATGATTCCGACGTTTTGAACGTTAGCACTTCATCGTACAGCGAATAGAATGGGTAGGTTACTTTTCATCATCTTTTTTTCACGGTAGGAGAGACTCGACATTAGCACTCAATTCTAATTTTAGCAGTACATGTTACGTTTTAATTCAAGTGATTAAAAGACTTAGACCCTCAACTAAAGCACGGCTTTACTGAGGCTTCTATTATGCCACACTTCCACTACTAAAGCACTGTGCTAGGAATTGGGAAAAAACTAGAACTCCTTAATAAACATGTTTTACTAATAATCCTTGGTGAAAAAGTCGGTACATACGAGGTGCTTTTGGAAAGTCCAAACCTTGTCAGCTTGAGAA